GTCTTCTCTTGTTCACCGAGACAGCAGCTCTTATTGAAAATACCAGCCATAATTTTTGCTCAAGAAAGCTGCTTGAATATGAATCTCACTCATTCAGAAATGGTGTGGTTATGGGTACTGCCTCAAGCAGTTTTGCCTGCTAAAAAATTCAGGAAGTCATGCAATCAAAGTTAACACAGCATATGAATTTTGGTTAGCAGCAGTACAGCCCTAACTTTTCTTCCTTTAAACTGCCAACAGTTAAAAAAAAAAACCAACCAAAACCCAAGACATTTACATGTAATCATGAACTTTTTTGTTTTCAGTTGCTACAGAAAAGGATTCAGGCAAGAAATTGTGACTAGGTCCGATGAAAAAATGAAAATGATAAATTTTGTGACAACATCTGAGGTTTCAGGACTTATCTTTTTCAATGAAGTGAAAACAAATCTCCTAAACACTTAACCTGCCTTCCTCCCCCGCCCCCCCAAAAAAAATGTAGAAGGGTGCTTGAGTAGGTTGGTTTGTCTGAAGACCCATTTCCTCACTTGTTACGTAAAACTTGCTTGTCAAACCAATTCCATCTCTGCATTCTAACTGATAAAGCAGCCTGCTCAAAATCTTCTCTTTCTCTAAAGGTAAAAATTGTTTTGACTACTTTTAGTAAGACACAATGAAATACCCATGAGTAATTCCTGCATTTCAGACTGTAATTCATTGTAGTTTTCATTGCAGTGGAAACACAAATTATAGTAGTATTTTGTTACTAAGGAGATTTGTTCAGACCTGTTCGTTTTGGCTGAGCTTCAGGCCAGTCACATCCGTTCTGATATGCCTGTGTTTCCTGTGATCTTTCTTTTTGGAAAGTAAAATTATGTGCCTAGTAAAATTAAATACATTTTTTTTGTGCTCTGCTACAAACTAGCTACTAATGTCCACCCTTGAGGGTACTTACTACAGCTTGGAGACTGTGAAGAGCTTCTGGCTCATAGAACCTAAAAAAACCCTTTGTTAATCCACCCCATTGGAAGGTGCCATATAATTTTAAAATTTCATTTCCTTTCAATTAGCAGCTGATTACATTTGATGAGCTACAACATTGTTTCCCTGTGTGCACATTATGAGTCAACACAGTCAATGAGCTGTTAAATCTTCCCATGCAGGGAAACAATAGGAAGCGTTATATAGGAACTCTCTTTATCCTCCTATCTTCTTTATCAATGGCTTGACTCAGGATTATTTATTAGATTGGATTTAATCTCTTCTGTCTCTCTGCTGTTTAAAATGCCGGTATTTTCACCTGGATAAAGATCCCAGTATTCTGATGCTGAAGAGAGGAGCTAATAAGCTTAATACTTATTTGATTTTTACTTTTTTTTATTAATTATCTGCTTTAATTCCACATTTGTGGAAAATTCTACTGTTTGTTTATAAAGATATCAGATGACACTGTGATCCTTTCTAGTTCAGGAGTCTAGAGATACACAGTAACTGGTTGAGATATGCAGTAATTGACTGGAATTTAATGTGATTCCTGGTTTAGGGCATCTGCTGATATAAAACACAACAGCAGTACTGAGGTACATACTTGCCATTGGTTTGCATACTGTTATAGAAATGCAAGTTAAATAACAGGCTTGGGGTTTTTTTGTGGGTTTTTGTGGTTTTTTTTTTTTTTTTCATTTTTTCATTTTTTTCTTTTTTAAGATCAGCCTACCACATCTAATTTGTGCAATTTCTACCTATGGTGTTCCTCTTAAAGGTAATTTGTTTCCTTTCAAGTAATTACAAATAGTACGTTTTCAGTCACATTATGCCAACATCAAGACTGATAACTAACTAGTTTGATTCCACTCTTATCAACATTTTATGAAAATTAGAAGTGAAAACATCACACTGGGACCTTTAGAGTTGCTTTAAGTTGTTTTGAATAAATAGCAGTCTTTTACAGCTCTAATGATTAGAACAGCTAAAAAGGTTCTACCACAACATGTAATGCATCTCTTTTTTTATGCTAACAGCACTGGAAAACTGTTCATCCTGTTTATTTTACTCCTGTGTAGTGGCATTCTTAGAAATGTGCATCAATACTTTTTTAAATTCTTGAATAATTAAAGCCTTATCTGGTTAGACCAGCCTTTCTCTAACTAGTATTTGAAAGTAGTCCTGTTTGCGGAGAAACATTGCAGTTTTATTTGGTGTAAATATTGTGCATTCACAGTTATCATTTAGTATAAAAGTTGTTACTGCCTTTTTTCTTCATATGAATTGGATGTTTAGTAGTAAAATGAGCACATTTTATAGGTCATCTTTTTTGTTTGTTTTTTAAAGCAACTGAGGATGAATAGTATCTCTTCATTAGAAACTCATTAGTTTGACCTAACCTTTATATTGTGTGAAGATTAATACGTGTTTCCCATTTCTAAGATCATGGCTGAAGCAACCAAAAATTTCAGATTAAGTTTCTTGTTTGAAAGAGGAAGAAAGTGGAAGAAGCAATTATAAAGGTTTTAATTTTGTTTTGAAATCAAACCAAACAGCAGCAATTTACATTTTTCAGTTAGATTAGTGCTAGCTGTCTTTTACAACATCTCTTTTCTGCAGATTGAGAAGCACATTCTAAAGCATATTGCCCAGAGAAGCTGTCCATATCCCATCCCTGGAAGTGTTCAAGGCCAGGTTGGATGGGGATTTGAGCAATCATCTAGTGGAAGTTGTTCCTGCCTGTGGCAGGGGAGTTGGAACTGGATGTCCCTTGCAACCCAAATCATTCTAGGATTCTATGATAAAATGCTAGTTTGAAATCTTGTCTTACAGTATCTACCTGCCCTTTTGCCAGATATTAGGCCAATAAATTCCCCACAGAAATCCCAAGATATAATAGGAGTTATATAATTTCCGGAGAACCAGACTATACAGTTTCCTATTCTAGCTGTAATAAACTTTTCCTACGCATCTCTGCTAAGGCTGACTCAAAGCACTTTCTAAACTGTAAAGAAGAAAGTGCAAGTGCTGTCTTCATCAAGACTAGGATTTTCATTTTGTTTTTTTCTAGTCTACTTGGAACATAAACCCAGGAATCTAGCATCCCATATTGCAAGCTGTGCTATATTCCTAGGAACTTCAGTGGGCCTTGGGCAAATAAAAAAAACCCTGTTTGGTTCTCAGCTTTGTTCCTGAAAACAGTGCATGCCTTTCCTCCAGAATCATACCTTTGCTTGGATAGTCTCTAAATAGTTTTTACATTTCTTTGGTGACATACTAGTTTTGTGTGTATGTATACTAGTAGGGCACGTGAACGATGCAAACACAGAAAGAAGATAATTAGAATTAGCAGATTAAGAGAAAGTCTGAGATGCACAAATGTAGTGGCTTTACCAATAAATCACCTGTGAGAATGATTAAACAAGAAAATACAGTATATACCTAACCTATTTTCCAGTTCTCTGATAAGCAATATGGTGGGAATAATTCTTTGGCTCTCAAGTTACTTTCCGTGTTAGTGTATTAGTAATGGGTCATACATGACTGATTTAACAGAATAAAGGCTAAGATTAGATTACTCTTTTTAATAAAATGAGCATACTGTAGATGAGCATGTTTTGTCTATTCATCAAAATTATGCATGTGGTGCCAGGCATCCTCCTCTTTTAAATGTACCTCATTGAAAATACAGCGAGTTAAACACAAACCATCTAAGCATGTGGAAGCATATTGTAGCTACTGTGGGGGTTTTTTAAATGTTGTGAGGGAAACAGCAGTGGTTTATATGAAGCTGGCTTCTAGATACCAATGTAAAGTACCAAACTAGTGCCTACAATATTTTCTTATGTATATGAAATGGAATATACAGTATTTCAAGGCAAATAGTTGGTAGAAAGGAGGAAAAAAAATCATTTCTATGCATAATAGATGAGGCTGAGACATAGAGCTAGTTGTCAGATGATCTGATTTTCAATTTTGTGTGTGAATTTTTGTTTGCTTGTTTGTTTTTTAATCTGTCAATTTACTTCTGGCCAGCTGCTAGTTATAACTAAAGATTCTCAAGCAGTTGCCAAGTGCATTCCATTATCTGTACGAAGGGTTAATAATTCTTCAAAATGTGTAACTGCTATGAGAATGTGTGAATTTAGACTTTCTCAGGTGCTAGGGAAAGCAACAATATTGGAAAGCATAAAATATATAAATGAGAATGGCAGCATGTCTGTGAGGCAATATATGTTTTACCCTTTGTTCACCTATGAAATGTGCTCATTTTGCCACTAAACACCAAACTTGTGTTTGCACTCAGAATCACAGAACAGTTGACACTGGAAGCAACACCTGTGGGTCATGTTGCCCACACCCATGCTCAAGGGTCACCTAGGACAGGCTACAAAGAACTATACATAGACAGTTTTTAATATCCCCAAGGATGGGGTCTCCAAAGCCTCTCTGGATAGCCTGTACTAGTTCACATTCACAGGAGAAAAGTATTTTCTGATATTCAGATGGAACCTCCTGTCTTGCAGTTTGTGCCCATTGCCTTTTGCCCTGCCATTAGGCACTACTGGAAACAGCCTGTCTCTGTCTTCTTTATGGCCGCTTTTCAGCTATTTGTACACATTCAGCAGTTTGTATACATAATGTCCACTTCTTTAAATATCAAAGATAAGCCATCCAACACTTTCTACATTGTTAACAGCAGTTCTAGCCACTGGGAGCCCAGCTGATCTGCTGTAGTTAGGGGTGGATGCACTTGTGCAATCTCTATCCCCAATGCTTTGTAAGAACAAATTAATCTAAATTTACATCCAGAATTATGCTGTTGTCCAGTGTAGCAGGTAACACCTGTGAGGATATATGTGAGAAGATGATGAGGCCCCAGCAACAGCTGGAATTAGTCTGAAAGGAAGGAAGGTTGACAGCAACCTTCAAAATAGGTTGGAACAATCAACGGAAGAATGATGACCTGCTCTGTATGACATATTGCTGGGTAATGTTGCCAGACGAGTTAATAAAGCTGTGGCCTAGTTAGACCACATCCTTTGCATCATGTTTTCCTGCACAGTCAAGCTGTGTGTTTTCTGGCTTGCATAGTATCATCAGTAATACAGATTCAACAACTAGATCATCTGTTGGTGGTGCAGAAGTTAAAATAGAATACGTCTCGCTTCCTCCTAGCTGTATTTGGCTGTGCAGAGCTAACAGGAGTAAAAAATGGTGACAATTTATTTTTATCACTTAAGTGAGTACATTTGGACTGACTACATGTGGAGAACAGATCTACTGAATAAGACTTTTGCCTAGTAACTTTTTCTGCTGTAGCCACATTTAATAATTGTGGTTGAAATGCTGGCTTTACATTTAAAAAAATGTTGACAGAGTATCTTTCACAAATGGGAACATGCTCACATGATTCTAAACATATGCTACAATCCTTTCCCGCATCTACATCTGTTTCTTTAATTGATATTGTATTTCAATTATTTTAGCTTATAAATACACACTAAGGCTGATAAATGTGTTTTCTATCAGATGTTTCTGGAAGGAAACTGTCTGAGTTACTTTTTTTTTTTAATATATGTTTCCTATATAATTTTTTAAAGCCCTCAAAACTTTGTAATAGAATTATTTCCATTAAATTCCACTAGATAAAAATAGGGTGCAAGGTGCAGAGTGTTCAAAGCTAAATAGTCAGATAATCCCCAGAGTAAAAAAGCAAAACTGTACTAGGAGAGTATGTGCCAATGTGCTCCGAGAAAAGGAAGTGCTGGTATTGTTACTTCTAAAAGTGATAAGCTACAAGTTAATTCTAGTGAATTGCAGAAGTAGCAATGACACATGCTTTAGTGTTCTAGTATTTCTTTATCTCAAGACATAAATGAAACAATCTACAATTAGGAAAAGCAATCACTAAACATATTAAATTAGCCTCTGCCAGTACTGACAGATGAGTATCTCTATCTGACGATTTCTGTTTCACAAGGTTATTTGTTTGAATAGCACCCAGTTCCTTTCCTTTTTCAATTTGGTGGATGAGAGCTTAATTTTTCAGAGAGAGAAAGGATTATCTGTTATACCAAATGTGGGTCAGAACTGTAACTTATGTTCTACCCAGTCTGGTGCCGATATTCCTAAAGGATTTCTTCAGCGATGGCCTTATGAGTCAGCTCTTCATTTTTATTTACTTTAGCAGTTGCTTTAAAAATTCATCCCAACATCTGACTAAAATCAGGAGAGAGGAGTAAATGTATCTGCTCTATCTCATTAGTTAACAGAGATGTACAATTATTTTGTATCAGTTTGTGTCAAACAGTATTCTATAATTAAGGACAGACCATCATCAATTCTCTACTACAGAGTGACAAAGGAGGTTGAAAGGGGTTTTGGGTTTAATGAAACATAATTCAGTTAAGATTAACATTTTGGGCCAATTTTTTTTTTCTGGTGTCTTAAAAGTCTGTCCCCATCAGAATCGGTATACTCTCACAGCTGGAGAGGGACTCTTCATTAGGGGCTGTAGCCATAGGACAAGGGGTAATGGATTTAAAGTGGAATGGGAAGTTCAGGTTTTACATAAGGAAGAAGTTCTTTACTGTGAGGGCGGTGAGGCACTGGCACAGGTTGCCAAAAGAAGTGGTAAATGCTCCATCCCCGGCAGTGTTCAAGGCCAGGTTGAGCAGAGAGCCTTGAGTGACATGGTCTAGGGTGAAGTATCCCTGCCCATGGCAGGGGGTTGGAACTAGATGATCTTAAGGTCCTTTCAAAGCCAAACCATTCTATGATTCTACAGTGGGGCAGAACACACCCTCAGGAAGTTGCTGATGACGCAAAACTGGGAAGAGTGGCTGATACACCACGAGGTTGTGCTGCCATCCAGAGGGACCTCAACACACTTGGAGAAATGGGCTGACAGGAGCCTCAAAAATTTCAACAAGGGGAAGTGCAATCATAGAATGACTAGTATTGGAAAGGACCTGGTGAGAAACAGTCCCAGGAACTGAGATATGCTGGGGCCACCCAGCTGGAAAGCAGCTTGGCAGAAAAGGACCTAGGTGTCCTAGTGGACACCAAGTCAAACATGAGACAGCAATGGCAGCCATTGGTATCTTGGACTGCAGCAGACAAAGTATTGCCACCAGGTCAAGAGAGGTGATCTACTCAGCACTGGTAACATCACACTTTGAGAGCTGTTCCCAGTTTTGGGCTCCCCAGTACAAGACAGACATGGACATACTCGACAGAGTCCAATGAGTAGCCACAAAGATGATTAAGGACCTGGAGCATCATCTCTCATGTGAGGAGAGGCTGAGAGAGGAGGGACAATTTAGCCTACAGAAGAGAAGGCTTGAGAGAATCTGATCAATGAATATAAATACCTGAAGGGATCATGTAAGGAAGACCTAACAAGGCCCTTTTCAGTGTTACCCAGTGACAGGGGAAGAGGCAACAGGCACAAACTGAAACAGAGGGGGATCTATCTGAACATCAGGAAACACTTCTTTACTGTGAGGATGACTGAGCACTAGAACAAGTGGCCAGTAGAGGTTGTGAGATCTCTCTCCTTGGAGACACTAGAAGACTTCCTGGACATTGTCTGGGCAGACTGCTCTAGGTGGACCTGCTTGAGCACGGGGGTTGGACAAGATGACCTCCAGAAGCTCCTTCCAGCCTCAACAGTTCTGTGACTGTGTATGAGAACAGAAATGAAAACTAATGTTGTCATTCTATTAGAACTAGATGGTGAAAATTAAAATCACCAAGCTCGTAGAAATTCACAGATTTCTGAGACATTAGAGTGGAAAAACTATGCAAGGTTTGATGCAAAACTGATTTGAAAACAAAGACGATCTCCTGCCCTGAGACCAAGGATATCTCAGTTCAGATTCCCAGCAACAGGTTTACAGGTATGATATTGGATAAACCTTGTAATAATGAAATCTCCCTTTACTGTTTCTTATGGGGAAGACTGTGTCAAAAGGTAATTTAGATCTGATTTGGCATCAGTAAGTATTATATATATACACACTTGACGTATTTGAAGAGGAATAATATCCATTTTGACAGTTTCAAAAGTCAAAGTCAAAATGAATCTATAAGAATATATAAGAAACATTCAAGCAGTAAAGAACACCACAGAAATCAAGCAACAGCTCACAGAAAAATGCATTTCTCCTTATGTACCAGAATATACAGCTGTCTGTATTTTTATTTTATTTTAGGTTCACAATCTAGTATCACACTTAGCTGTACTGGTACAAAAGAAGGAAAATTTAAGGGAAAATTAAAGGCATAGATATTCTAAGAAATTGATGCTTACACACTTTAGTGACAATAAGAAATTAAGATTACTAGTAGACATACTATGAAGCTAGACAAATCTGAGATTATAGCACATATGTATCAAACGAAATTACTGAAAGTTCCTGTCATATTTCATGAGGAAAAAGAAAGGAAATTTAACCCAAATGTTCCTTCTTAGAGATGTAGACCGCTGTACTTTCACTGTTGTATGGCAGGGAGGTTCTTTATTGGCTTGTTACTTGGATTTTTTCTTTCATTCAGAAATGTCCCAATGCACTATTGATGACTAGTACAGCTGCATTAATACACAATTTTAAACCACTGTTTAGCTAAGCAAATTTCAGTCGTGCCTTTCCGACACACTTAGGGGTCGTCTGTATAAATTATTCTGTTACTAATTCAACCCAGTGTCGTGGTTTAAGCTTAGCTGGTAACACAGAACCCGCAGCTGCTCGCTCACACTCCTTCCTTCTCCCACCTCCCACCCCCACTCCCAGAGGAATGGGGAGGAGAATCAAAAGAATCTAAATCCTTTAAGAACAGTCTAGTAACTAAGGTATAAAACAAAATCACTACTACTACCACCAATAATAATAATGATAAGGGAAATAACAAGGGAGGAGAATACAAGTGCTCACCACCCACTGACCAATACCCAGCCCGGCCTGAACAGTGATCTAGCCCTTCCAGGTAACTTCTCCCACTTTATATACTGGGCATGACGTGCTGTGGTATGGAATACCCCTTTGCCTAGTTTGGGTCAGGTGTCCTGCCTCTGTTTCCTCTTGGCTTCCCCTTCTCCCTGGCAGAGCACGAGATTCACAAAGTCCTTAGTCAGAGTAAACATTATTGAGCAACAACTAAAGACATTAGTGTTCTTAGCATTGTTCCCAGGCTGAGAGTCAAAAACACAGCACTGCACCAGCTACTGAAACTGAGAAAAACCATGGGTTTGCCTCCAGTGCTTGGACTGTCTGGTCACAAAAGATGACCAATATGTAATACCCAATCACTGAATGGATATTAAGGTTGTGTTGCAAAGTGACACATGAAAGGATATGCACAGTTAAGTGGAAAATCTTAGACTGATTTGGCTTGAAAGGGACATTTAAAGACCAACTAGTCCAAACCCCAAAATGTACCTGGCTTGCCAGTACTATAGCATAGTAAATGAGGCACTTCAAGAAAGCAAGTGTAATGCTTTCATTTTTCTTTTCTGGTATTGCTGGCTTACTGTCTAAGCTGCAGGGAAATCTTAGATCTGTAATGGGACTAGTTGTTCTAGAACTAATCCAGACCTTGGGTAAAACCAGATGCTTTGGGGACCTATTAGTGTGGTCATATCAGTTCTCTAAAGTAGTAGTCAGATCACAGTACAAACTTAAGTTCATGAAATCCAAGTGCATTACAACTTTCCATTGTTACGCTATACAGTTTGTCAGAGCATACTCATGGATGTGATCACAGTGTAAGTTTAGGTAAAAACAGATTTTGATTTTCTGGAAAATATATTGCCCTGTGAGCTAGCACCAACACTGGAATGCAAAAGTAAACAAATTCAAGTTAAAACCTAACATCTCTACAGTTTCAAAATTCTACTTTGTTGTTTGAACTTTTACTGACAGGCCTAGAATGATAAAATATCTTAAGTTGGAAGGTTCAGAAAAGAATTTAAAAGTGCGACTCCTTGCAGGACTGTCTAAAATCATATGTCTCAGAGCATTGTGCATAGGCTCCTTGAACACTGACA